TCTCTCTCTCTCTCTCTCTCTCTCTCTCTCTCTCTCTCTCTCTCTCTCTCTCTCTCTCTCTCTCCGGTCCTATACATCAAAGTGACGCGCGCGCTCTGGTGACATCTGGGTAAAAGCGATCGGAATCAAATCAAAGCTTTTAATCTCGCCAATCACCGTCACATCTGGACACTTCCCCTCACATAAAGACTCGTGTGGCTGAGCCGCGCCTGGTTCCGTGGGCAGAGGAGCGGTTCTGACCCGCTGAGGAGCGGCTTCAGGGAGGAGGTTTCTGGGTTTATTTTTGTCACGTGGCTCAGCTGCTCATAACTAAATAACTCCTGTTGTCTGTTTAAATTCCTGGGAGGAGTTGTCCTCCAAAACCGCTTGTTTAATTATATAAATGTAACTGTTCCTTGTAGAAATTAGTTTCAGATTCTTAGAATCTGTTGCCACATCTGTCGTTTTATATTTTTAATTTGGCTCCTAAAATATTGGACCAGTTTTAGGCCTTCAATTTCTCCTAAAAAAATAAACAGACAAACTGGAATTATTTGCGTTTAGGTGGACTTTTTCTAAATGTTTTTTTAATGGAAAATACCCTAAAATAACCTATAAACCGAGTAAACTCAGAATGAACTCAGATTAATTATAATAAAAGAGGGAGCTGATTTTTTTCTGTTCCTGACCAACCGTCCGATAAAGGAAGCATGCGTTTTCTAGCTGATTTTAATGAAGAAACGGTTATTTTATTTTAAGGGGTCTTGGTTTAAAGCCGCGGTGATCCCGGTGCTGTAACGGCGTGGGCGGTGCAGCGACTTGTGGAAGGGGAGGAGAAGGAGAGAGAGAGAGAGAGAGAGAGAGAGAGAGAGATGAGGGGGGGTCCATTTCCACGCTCACTCGCCCGCTGCCATTGTCATGGAAACAAGACCACCGCTTCGCCATTGTCTCGCGCCCTGCCGAGTTTATTATAAACACCGCGCGAGCCGCGACGCACCGTCACAAACGCAGCGCGAGCGCCGAGCGAGCTGAGCTGCTGCAGCGGGAGGACTTGTAGCGAGAAGTAAGCTAAGCTAGGGGAAAAAAACACTTGCTTTAAAAAAAAAACATCTGGCTGATTGAAATAACTAAAGAGAGAAGACGGAGTTCGGAAGATTTTGGAGACAAAAAACAGCCCGAACCGACTGTCAGCATCACCGCGTGTCCAGCAGAGTGTGTACATGTGTGTGTGAGTGTGTGTGTTTCCACCGGCCTCTCCTCCATGTATAAGATGGATTACTCCTACCTGAACTCCTATGACTCCTGCATGGCGGCCATGGAAGCCTCGGCCTACGCGGACTTCAGCTCGTGCAGCCAGGCCAGCTCGTTCCAGTACAACCCGATCCGGACCGGACCGTTCTCCAACCCGGGCTGCAGCCCGCTCAGCACGGCCAGCTGCACCCTGGGGGCCCTGCGCGAGCACCAGCCCACCCCGTACTCCACAGGTAACAACCAGGAAACACTTCATTTCGTTTGTAATAAATATTAATTAGGCTTTTTATTATATTTTTATTAAAGCTCACAAAACAAGCTTTAACACTGCTTTTCATAAAAAATAACTTTGGCCTAAAATCGGTAGTTTTAATTGAAAATATAGATTTTAAACAATGTTATCCTTTGGAAAACTATCTGAAAACGAAAACAACTTAATGGATTAAATTTGTAACTTAAAGATGGATATAATTAAGCTCAAATCAACCTGTAAATAAAACATAATTGTTTTCATCTAATATTAAATTAGTAAAATTTCGCCTTCTTTCCTCCTAAATCTCTTGCGCACCATTATTATTATTATTATTATTATACAAACTGACAAGATAATTTTGTTTACTCTGTGTGATTTTTTTTCTAAAACAGACATCAAGTCTCAGGGGGAAAAAAAGCCTCATTGTTTTCGTTTTTCCCTCCGCAATCTGCGGCATTTCACGTTTCTGCGCAACTTCGTTTAAACCCATCAGTGCTCATTATATGTCGACTGAATAAAATCAAATCAAACCTTTTTAATAAAAAAAAATTATGCAAAATTTTGAATAAATCGTTCTCCATTTTTTTTCTTATGAATGACCGCGAAATTTATTTTTTTCTGGCCTGAAACTGAACCCAAAATATCCAGTTATTGTTGTCAACTTAAAGAAGTGCAGATTTATAACCGAGATATTTAAAAAAAACCGAAAAAACAAAAAAAAAATGAATTCATTTTTATTTATTACAAAAATCCATCAATAAAAGTCATTTTTTTATTTTTACGCACGACTTTCTTGCGTCATTAATCAGCAGTTTTATGTCACTTTAGTTGTTTTTTTCAACTCGAAACTAAATGTTTGTGTCTCTCAGTCCCCTACAAGTTCTTCTCGGACCCCTCCGGCCTGAATGAGAAGAGGAAGCAGCGGCGCATCCGGACCACCTTCACCAGCTCGCAGCTGAAGGAGCTGGAGCGGGTCTTCGCAGAGACGCACTACCCGGACATCTACACCCGGGAGGAGCTGGCGCTGAAGATAGACCTGACCGAGGCCCGGGTCCAGGTGAGGGGCAGCTCTTTTATTTATTTGTTTGTTTATTTATTTTTGCATCGCTTCCATCCATCCGTGTTTCTCGTGTTTGTGTCTGCAGGTGTGGTTCCAGAACAGACGCGCCAAATTCCGCAAACAGGAGCGCGCAGCCAACGCCAAGGCCAACAACAGTTCCGGTGGCACCGCGGGCTCCACCGGCAGCAGCAGCAGCTCTGGAGGGAAGAAAAGCGGAGAGGCAAGGTCTTCGTCAGACGATGACGAGTCCAAGGAGTCCACCTGCAGCCCCACCCCGGACAGCACGGCCTCCCTGCCCGGCTCGGCCAGCGGGAACCTGGGGAGCCCCGCCAGCCTGAGCCCCAGCCCGGCTCCCCCTGCCAACAGCGGCTACGTCACCAACACCTCCGCCTCGCCGGTTCTGCAGGGGCTGAAGGCACCCAGCTGGTCCAGCCTGGGCCCGTCCAACCCAGCGGTGGCCCAGCCAGCTGTCCAGACTCAGGAGATCCTGAAGGCCTGGCAGCCGGCGGACAGTATGACGGGGCCTTTCGCCGGAGTCCTGTCCTCCTTCCACAGAAAACCCAACCCCGCCATCAAGACCAACCTGTTCTGAAGCACTGAGAGGAGTTTCCAGCTCGAATGGGGGGAGTGAAAAGCTGCTCAATGATGCTGAATTCACTGGGGGGAGTCAGCTCAGATCAAACACTCACAGGTCTGGTCTGGTCACCCCCCCAACATGTTCCACATGGTGCAGCTGCAGAACCCTTCCTGGTTATGAGCAGTTCTTTCTAAGACATGAACCATGCTGAGCTACTGAACCGACCCCCATCCATTACACACAAGTCTCGTTTTCTGCATCTTTCCTGTCTTTGTTGCCCCCCCCCCCCAACACACACACATTTCCACACTGCACTGCAGCAGCTCTGATGAGCATGGAGGTCAGGTACGACTTTAAAGCAGAAGTCCAAACATCAGGCTCTGCAGAGGAAAACAAAGCAACGAGCACAACTTGACTCACAGACTTCCACCAGAAGGAACTGAGTCCACCCTGAAGTCTCTTTGCTGAGCTGAGCAGCCCCCCCCTCCCCACCCCCCCAAAAAACAAAATCCAATTAGAGCAGCTGGGCCCAGATCCAGACCCCTCCCCAGATCCACTTGCTCCTTCTTCACCACATCGGGTCCTGACTCCCACACTCCAACAAACAGACTATACTTTGTTAAAAACTAAGCTGGGGCAGGCGTTTCACCCCCCCATCACTGTAGTACTGTGGGGTGGGAGGGGGCAAGGAGTTGGACTTAACCACCAAACTGAGTGCATCCTGAAAAATGAAAGGATTTAACTTCCTTCAACTTTTTTTTTTTTTTTTTTGGGACAAAAGCAGGCTTAACTGCTCATTTGCTGAAACACAGCTTTATTTTTTGTTGCACCTCATTGTTCTCAATCTCTTTGCTTTGTTCAGTTACCCAACAAACACTGTCACAGGACGCAGAAGTCTTCAAACGGACAAAAAAAAAATCGCCTATTTATTAATATTTTTATGTCGGTAAAAAACTCGGGCTTTTCTTTGAATCGCTCCGTAAAAAGTTTGTGAGTGTAAATTCTGTAATTAGTAATATAAATATTAGGTAGTTTAGTTTTTTTCTTTTGTTTTTCTGTCGTTTTGTTTTGGCCTCACAGATCTATTTCACTGCAGAGCATCTTGTCTCCCAGGCAGACAGCTTGGGCTGAATGAGACGTTATAGCACTACTCTGAATATTCTAATAAATCTACATAATGAAGGCACTACCTGACGCATCCTGTCATCTGATTTGCTTTTGCCTGGAACAACGTGATGAGTGGGTTTTCACATTAAAACTGACTGAAGACTTGCAGGATTACCGGATTTAAAAAAAAGAAAGAGACAATGTTGTGATTTCACAGCACAGTCTTGCTTTATCGCCTTAAAAACAGCAGAGGAAATGTATAAAATACACATTAGTTGAATTGAAAATAAAACAAACAAACAAAGATGAACAATTTCCTTTAACTTAACACGACCAAAGCAGAATGAAAAAACTGTGAGGGGAAAATAACGGTAAGACTCTCTTTCCCCAACAAACACACACATCAATGAGAACACTGAAAGACCTAAGAGGCTTTTAAAAAAGACTAAACTTCAACACATCTGAATGACAATATTTGGTTGTTTCTATAAAATACAACACAAATCCATCATGTTTTTCTGCGAGAGGACAATCAGACAAAGAGTCATGCAGAAAACAGAGCAGAAATGTCGATTTTAGATAAGAACAATACATTTTTAAACTAAACTGTTCATGTTATAATTTAGTGTGGTCTTAAAGGCTTTATTTTAAAAATCTGTATTAAGGAGTTAAAACTCCAGTCAGTCTCCACTGAGGGTGCTTTTTCTTTTTTATTTCCCCCCTGGAGCAGCAGCACCACCTACTGGTGACATTTGCTTAAATCACATTTTATGCTACAATTGAAATCCACTCACATAAATACAAAACACGATTTTAAAACAACAAAATAAATGTCAAGGTAGTTACAATGATTTGTGTGATAGTAGAGGAAACACATTTTGGTTATAAATGACAATAAGGTGACTTGTTACGACTAGATATTTTTAATTCCCTGAACATTGCATCAATCAGAGCATTTAAAAAAAAAAAGGTTATGTGACGTTAAATAAAAACACCTTCAGTAAAGTGAAATTTAGTGTCTCATTAGACAAACTATAAACATGTGAAATGTATTATTCAGTCATCGCTAAACTTGACGCAGCATTATGTGTATTTCCAATGTTTTTTGCAAGCATATAATAAATGTGTACACGTTTGGGGATAAAAACAGTCTAACAATATATAAAAATATTGCAAAATATGTCAGAAAAGTGTTAAAGTATCTGAAGAGAGAACATTGCACCAAAGTGACAAACAGTTTTAGGTCTAAAAATATTAATTTGGTTTGATGAGTATTCCCTTTTGACACAAAATATTCTAACACACATATAAATAGATGCTCTCCACAGGACACCTTCCCAACAGGAAGTGGCCCAAACGTCATGACGGAGGTCCACAATTTGTAAAAGCTGAGCTCACTTGAATCAGCTTCTTTCCTGTCGCTGCATCCTGTTCGCCCTCGTAACAGAACTTAATGAGATCATCTGTGCAACATTTTCCTCTCGAGTGCTTGCTAATGATCCCCCGCTGTTCGCCCACAATGACCAAACACCTGAGACTCATCAAAGGATTCAGGTTGTGGACTAAACTCAGTCCTTCCTCAGCTCTCAGAAAACTAAATGTGCAGCTATCTGGCGGTACAGCAAACATGACACAGCATTTTGAAATCTGTCTTAAAACAACACTTCTCCGAGCCTTTGTGGTTCTGTAGTGATGCTCGAAGGACTGAAATGGTTTTCATTAAATACGACAACATCTAGAACGATGACAACGCTCAGGTGGTACGGATGAAACGCGGTGCCGGTTCAGAAAGGGTTTTTGAAAACGTTAAAGGGAGTGCAATTTCTCTCAGAAGGCACCGTGTGGCAGCTCGCTTCAGTTCAGCTGAAATTTTGGCCTCTCAGGAAACCTGACGTGGTTCCAGGCCGGTTTGGACCAGTTACACGTGCAAGTCTATTTCTGCTGCTGCTGCCTGAGGCTCTCCAGCAGGATTTTCTTATGGGTGGGATCCAGAACTCCAGACTCTTCCAGGTCCTCCTCGGTGATGTCACTGTGGAGAAAAACAAAAAGTGGGAAAAAAGGAATCTAAAGTGAGCTAATGAGGTTTTTGTGGAGCTGGAGCACAAACTCTCCTACCGTCTCCATTTTTAAATCACAGATTAAAACTCTTCTCTTGAAACAGTCTTATTCAGTTTAATCACATCTCCCATTAACCCTATTTTTTGTAGGATGTTTTGTTTTATACAATGTTTTTATTTGTTAATTGTTATGTAAGCTATGATGTTTTATAGTAATTTTATTCTTTGCTTTATTCTTGTTTTATTGCATTGCATTTACATCGTACGGTGTCCTTGAGTGCCATGAAAGGCGCCTTCTAATAAAATGTATTATTATTATTATTATTATTATTATTATTATTATTATTATTACATTAAATAATATATCTAATGCAGCAGTGCGTACCTGAGGAACTCCAGATCGTCCCAGCCGTTGTGTAGTAGACCTTGCTCATATCGCTCCAGGCCCAGTCTCTGCAGCCACTCCCCAACAGATGATTCCCCCACAGAGAGCGACGAGCTACTGCTGCCCCAAAGAGCCTGCATGAGAGGAATCAACTCTGAATGCTTAGAAAACCTCTCAGACATAAATAAACTAAAAATATGGAGTCAGATATATATTTTTTCTGAGCCGTGTACCTCCTCTGGCATGTCCTCAGCGATGCTCTCTGGGATGGGGTTCCTGGGAGGGAAGGTACGGCAGGCTTCCAGACCTAAACCCATGGGAGGCCCTCGGTGAGGTGGGGGCGCAGAGGGGGCGCGTGGAGGCTGACCTGGAAACTCCGTCTCACTCAGAGTCTTTGCCATCTGCAGGACGGAGCAGGACTGGTCGTCCAGTGCCCCCGCTCCCACCCCTCCTCGCCTAAAACCCTCTGCGTGGGTGACGGGGCCCCCGGGGCCGGCCGGTGGGATCCTGACCTCAGCCAGATCTGGGTAAAGGGATCGAGGTTTGTTGAAAGGGGCCTCCGCAGCCATTTCCAGGGCTCCTTTAGGGAGCGGGGGCGGGGGGAAGTCGGGAGGGGGGCGATTCAGCATGCTTCCGACCGTCCCTGCCACGCCTCCACCCTGTGCCCCCACCACACCGGCACCTCCGTCCTCCTCCGAGGGGCTCTCCTGTCCTGCTGCAGGTCTGGAGGAATGAGGAGGCCCTGAAAGCGCCGAGGTGGGTTTGGTTCGAGCCCCTGCTGAGGGAGGGAGGGCTTTAGGGGCTGGGGGGTTTACGGAGGTGGGAGATGGGAGGAGCTCGGGAGACAGAGCTGCAGCTGATTGGTTGGGAACGCCCTCCAGGATGTAGTAGGCGGGGTTGTTGTAGCTGTTCTTGCCGATAGATGAGTCGGGGTCCGATGAGTCCTGTTTGGGTCTTCAAAACAACAAAAACAGACTCTTTAAAACTTTTTATTAGCTTTCATTTGCTTTTTAGAAGAATCTCATGAGTTTGTACCTCGCAGCTGTTTCCTCTTTGGTGCTTCGCTCTCCCTCCTCGCTGACCTTCCCTAGCTCTCCGAGCGGTTTGCGCACCACAGAATGTCTGCAACCAAAAATAAATAAACAAATAAATAAAAATAAAACCACAGGTGAGGTGCAGATCTTGTATATGAGATGAGATACCAGATGGCCTACACCTTTCTAACACCTACAACAGATTTTATTCTCCTGTGATGTGAGGAGGTAAATACAGCTTGGTTGACAACGACCCAAATGACCCAATGGATGAATGATGGGGTTTTTCTACCTACATTCATAGTTAGATTTTAACACACCTTCCATATCTAAAGGATCATAATTATAGCACATTTTAATTAAGTAATAATTGTATTTCTGCTGAATTAATACATTTATGTTAAAACTAATGGATAAGAGAGAAACATGAGGCTGTGTAAGATTATCATCCTTAACTTATTTTACAATAAACTGCTTCTCATTAAAGAATCATTCTTTATTTACACTGTATGATGTTTTTATTTAACAGTGATCTGTTCTAAGATAAAACAGAGTGTAAATGAGTTGTACTGACTTGACGTACTCATGCCCTGCTCTGGACACCATGGTGGATTTCCCTTTAGGTCCGCATGTCTCATCATTGTCCACACTGATCCACTCTGCAATGCAACAACAAAAACAGGCATAATGTTGATCAATCGTGTCTCTCTGTTTGTTTTTAAATGGTTCCATTTGCACACTGATGCATTACCATACAGTCTCTCTCTGGTTCCCATCCTCTCAGCAGGAACTCGGACCCTCATGGATCCCCGGATGTTTCCCGTTTCCTCGCCTCGGTGGGACAGGTAGGTGTGGAACTGCTGTGCTGTGCTGCCGATCATGGACTTTAGGGCCAGCACACACTCTCCTGACGGAGGAAACCGCACACAGCTGGTCGTCAGACAACGAGAAACTCCACCTGTTTGACAGCATCGAACACAAAGAGTCTCTCTTTACCGTAGGACTCGTATCCGTCCACTGATTTGACGGTGAGCAGCAGATGTTGGTCCTGAAGGTACTCGATCTCAGAGAGCAGCGGTTTGAGTGTCGTCAGCTGCTTGTTGGACCAGCCCACGCGCAGGAAGTTAACGTTGTCGCTGTTCTGGCTGTCGTTCTCGTAGCTCTTCTTAAACTCTAGAGATGAAAAATTTAAAAAATGCAGGGAAGGGATGGAAAAGAAAGGGCGGAGGGAACAAGGTGGGAATAAGACAAGGAGAAAAAGAGGAGGGAGACATTATAATCGCACGTCACTCATGGAAGACAAGCAGGCGAGCATGCAGCACAGATCAAAACAAATACTGACTGTCTGATACAAGAAGGAACAACAACAGAAGGGAAGGAGGATGCAAGAAAAAAAAGGAAACAGACTCAGTTTTATAACATCTGGACACTAATTCCTGATGTTTATCCTGTGAACATGAGCACAACTGAGTCGCAGAAAAGATGCAGGCGTGTTTGTCTCACCTTCCAGACAGGTGGAGTAGAACTCAATGAAGAACTTGGTCCTGCTCGCCGTCTTCACGATGGCCTCGATGCTCTCAAACTCAATGTAGGCCTGCTCCGAAGACTTCGGCAAACCTACCGAGAGGGGAAGACAAAACTAATGAGAACCAAAGCAGCTTGAATAATAAGCTGAGTCTGCGTTTGTTTGTTTGTCTATAGAGATTTTAATGAAACTATCAGTAAGTCATCACTGGATTTACATCTATAACTGATTACAGGGTTCCTACAGTTTAAGGCAAGTTAAATTTAAGACTTTCTAAGACTTTTAAATGCCAAGTGAAATCAAATTTAAGATCAATTTCACAAATAACACAAATGACAAAAAATTAACACTGTGGCAGAAACTCATGTATCAAAGTATTTTTGGTTGAATTATTCAAATATTGCTAACAGACCAATTGTTTTTATCCATATCTAACTGCTTTTTTTGTCAAATATGGCTAAAAAAAACATTCTTGGCAGTCAGTTTTAAACTTAATTCCTGGAAATCCTCTAACAACCCAAAATTTGGAGCTTTAGGACCCACAGTGGGTTCTCAACCCCAGCTTGCTGTAGATGAAACCTTCAAGTGACTGTGATGTAAAATGTTTGTATGAAATATGAATGCATTTTTGGAAAGACAACATTATAAACACATTACAAAACAAAATTCACATTGCTCAGATGGACAGTTGTTGAGATATTTGCATGTGAAATAACAGGAAGTGATGTCAAAAGGGAATGTTTAAATGTGAACAAAGCATTGCTACAACGGATAACACAGACTGTAGACAAGAATCTGATGTTTCTTTATATCATTTTTAATCNAAATTCACATTGCTCAGATGGACAGTTGTTGAGATATTTGCATGTGAAATAACAGGAAGTGATGTCAAAAGGGAATGTTTAAATGTGAATAATTCAAAAATAAATAAATGTTACCAATTATTTTAATATTTGACTTCTGAAGATTGATTTAAGACCTTTTAAGGCTAATGAAGGCCTTATTTTTGGATTGATGAATCCAAGGCTTTTTAAGACTTTTTAAGGATCCGCAGGAACCCTGGATTAATGTTTGGAGTTAACGCAATTTAAGATGGCATTAAAAAATAATATAAAACTCATAAAAGTCAATTTTGCATAATTCCCCACAGATACTGAGCTAAAATTCAGAGTGGTAGTAGCTGAGAGTCTTCCTCAACACACACAGATTGTGCAAAATGTTTGTTAAAACTTTGGCATTAAAAGTGACGAGCAGAAGAAATTAAAATGTAATACAAAAAAACAAAAAAAAAAACAAAACAAAGATGAACTTTTACCTTTTTTAGAGACGAACTGAGATGTCACTCCAACCTCAAACGTAGCGAATACAGGCGAATGGTCGCTGGTCACAATGTCATCAGTGCAGCCTTGGTAAAACATAACCCATCACTACATTATAATCTAGGTTTTTATTTTAAATCTTGTTTGCACGGCTGCTGGAAAAGGACTTGTCTCACCGTAAGAGTTGCACACAGTGTGAGTTTCTGGGTACGACTTCCACAGGATCCGGTCACACCAGGAAGGAACATTAGTCCTCATCTGAGCAGCGGAAAAATCCAAGACAAGTCGTTATTATCAGGTCACATAAGGAGGAACTAAAGTGAACGAGTCTGACGATTACTCACCCCCGTGGCTTTCTGCTTCTGCCAGACGTACGTGTCCCTGGAGCCTCGCTCGTAACGGTACGTCGGAGGGAAGGAGATCTCTTCCTCCCCTGCAAACAACAAAACCAGCTTTGTTTTGTGAAAGTGAAGAATTCTAAGTCAAACTCACAACTTTTCAGATAGCTCAGCTGTTTTCCCCTCACACTTTAAAAGCAAAAACATCCAGATTTTTGTCAAATATTAATGACATCTAATGGTCACCGTGAATGTTACGTTCTGATACGCTAAGCAGGTGATGCTAATTATTCACCAGAAGAAGATGAAGACTCCGTTAGTGAACTAAACTAAAGCTTAACTACAGCAGTGTTTCTGAGAGGCAGCAGTGCTGAGACAGTGCTTTTGGTAACTGTGAGTCATAACTAAAGCGGCGGTGGTGAGACCACTGAAACTGTTTTTAGAACAGGGAGTTTCTGTTAATAATAAGATTTTACTCTTTCAGAATAATATTTCTCTACATTTAAACAAATCCTGGCCCAAGTACTTGTCTAAATGTAGGGAAATAAAGAAATGTTATTCATACCTTCTTGTGCACACATTAAAAAAAGAAAAAAAGAGAAGCCATTATTGGCCAAGACATACTGACCAAAACGTAAAAAGACTTTATTCTTCTCCCTCTCCAGGTTGAGCTGGTCCACTTTTAGCAGCGGCTCAAATTCCTTCCTGTTAATGTAGTTTAAGATTTCCTGCAGAGTCAGAAAAAGAGAAACCAGGATCAGAAAACGAGGTTTAATCCAGCTTCAGAGCATCATCATCATAAGTTCGTCTTCTTGTTCTGTTTCACCTGAATGTCCATGTCCAGCCTGTAGTTGAGGTCTCCGAGCCAGAACAGGTGTGTGAAGCGCAGAGAGATGTCGAAGGAGCTCAGCTGTTTGTCTCCCAGTGATAGCAGCCGTAAAATATCAAGGTAGTTCTGGTTCCTCCTGGATGGGTCAAAGATAAAAGAGAGCTTTTAAAAATTAATGTCATTTTTATTAAATTAAGCAGTCCAGTAATCCTTTTATAAAGCAGCAGAACAATTCTAACTATTTTGTCTTTGAGTCTCTAAAGTACCACAAATTTTGTCGAATTATTATTTTATTTTTTTCATGCAATGAAAGCAACAAGCTGTTCCAATTCAGTCCATTAGGTGACAGTAAAACCAAAGACAACAACAAGAACGTGTCATGGCAGCTGTTGTAAATCACAGCTTAGAGCCATAAATTCAACTCTGGAACAAAATCAAACCCTAAAAGTCATAATTAGATGTCTAAACTGTTGACTTTAAAGATGCAAACACTTTATGCTTACAAAGTTTAAGTGTAAAATGACTGAAACAGAAAACTTTTTTTTAAACTTTTAGAAAATCTGTTCTAGAGAAATGGTTTATAAAGTTGGGGTCGGGATATGGGATAAATCTTGTGCCAGCAGGAACTGAATTTGAATTATTCAGATTGAATCTGAATGTGCATAATTTGAAATTGAATGCATTGGTTAGAAAATGAATTTTACTAAATTGAAACTGAATTTAATGGTTTGAATTTGAATTAATTTGCTTTAAAACTGTATTTTGGTCAATTAAAAATTCAGTTTGACTACTTTCACTTTCAGTTCCATAATTCAGTTTCAGTTCCAAAATTAAAATTTTTGTGTCACAT